AGAAAAGGTGGCAAGATTGGTCTTACCGGGTTCTGCTTAACAAAAATCAAGTCCAAAGAAAAGTACCTAGCCTCAGCGGGTGCATCAAGTCGATCCCGACTGACCATGATGACTGATGCTCTGAAATCAGAGTTATTAAAAATGAAAAGAAATACAAGGTCAAAAGCCCCTAGAGGCAAAATAAGGTGAAAGGGGCAAAAGCCCCACATAGTTGAATCATCACTTGGAAAGTTTGGAAAGTTGAGTTCCTCGGTTTTAGGAGAGAGATCAATCTTCAAAAAAGCCAGCAAGCAGCAGAGGTTCTCACCAGAAGAGTTGGGCCGCGATCAAGTGATCAAAACAGTCAAGGCCACAAAACCAACCACGGTTTCAAACTAACAATTGTTCTTTGTTTGAAAAATTGAAACAGGTACAATCCAAAGCAACCGTGCAAGAAGCAGGTGCAACCAAAAAGGAAAAAGAAATGTGCAAGCGCTAGAAACAGTTTTGCAACAATAATCAACCCAAAAGGGAAGTCTCCTCCAAATTCTTTCCTATATTTTTTTTATTAAAAAAATGAATTGAACTGAAAGAAAATAGATAAGAAGAAAATAAAAAAAGAAGGGTAGTTTAGAAGCCCTAATATCAATCTTTTACCTTTTTGCCAATATTAGGCTCCAATCCCTGAATTGAGATTTTTAGACATAGGGCCTTCATTCCTTAGTCACCTTTTGCCAACATTAGGGCTCCAATCCCTGAGTTGAGATTTTTAGATAGGCCCTCCATTCCCTAGTCGCATTTTTGCCAACATTAGGGCTCCAATCCCTAAGTTGAGATTTTTAGATATAGGGCCTCCATTCCCTAGTCGCCTTTTGCCAACATTAGGGCTCCAATCCCTAAGTTGAGAGTTTTAGACATAGGGCATCCATTCCCTACTTGCCTTGTTGCCAACATTAGGGCTCCAATCCCTAAGTTGAGATTTTTAGACATATAGCCTCCATTCCCTAATCGCCTTTTGCCAACATTAGGGCTCCAATCCCTAAGTTGAGATTTTTAGATATAGGGCCTCCATTCCCTAGTCGCCTTTTTTCTAACATTAGGGCTCCAATCCCTAAGTTGAGATTTTTAGATATAGGGCCTCCATTCCCTAGTCGCCTTTTTTCTAACATTAGGGCTCCAATCCCTAAGTTGATATTTTAGACATAGGGCCTCCATTCCCTAATCCGTTTTGCCAACCTAGGGTCTCCAACCCCTAGTTGAGATTTTTAGACATAGGGCCTAGTTGAGATTTTTAGACATAGGGCCTCCATTCCCTAGTCGCCTTTTGCTAACATAGGGCTTCAATCCCTAGTTGTGATTATTTTTAGACATAGGGTCTCCATCCCCTTGTCGCCTTTTGACAACATAGGGTCTCCAATCCCTAGTTGAGATTATTTTTAGACATAGGGTCTCCATCCCCTTGTCGCCTTTTGACAACATAGGGTCTCCAATCCCTAGTTGAGATTATTTTTAAACATAGGGTCTCCATCCCCGAGTCGCCTTTTGCTAACATAGGGTCTCCACTCCCTAGTTGAGATTATTTTTAGACATAGGGTCTCCACTCCCTAGTTGAGATTATTTTTAGACATAGGGTCTCCATCCCCTAGTCACATTTTCCAACACGAGGTCTCCACTCCATGGTTGATTTTTATAGATATAGGGCTCCACACGCTAATATTTTTCTCCCAAAGACACAGATCCTTGTTTTATTGCTTTCAATAGAGAAATAGTATAGGGTTTGTTACAATAACTCAGGAAATTTTCCTCGTGAAAACTGGGGCAGAAAAATTTCGTTTGTTTGTTTGTTTGTTTTTGGTGTCTGAGCAGGTTTTACCTCGAGGCATAGGGTTCTAGATGACCAAAAGAATGAGTCTCAATTCAGAACAAAGAAAAGAAGAAAAAGAACAAAAAAGAAGTGAACTCAAGGTGTGTAAGCGGATAAAGATGCGGGTTGCTCAAGATATGATTGAAGTCACAAGCTTCGCATGTCCCGCCTTGATCCGAAAAGCTGAAGAAGAAAGAATAAGTACCTACAGCTGATGAGCATCGAGATTCAGATCAGAGTCTGCATGAAGAACTAGCCAAGACTCAAGATCAAGCTTCAGAAGACTCATAGATAGGAATCTTTTAACTCGTAGCTGATAGGCTTAGTTAGTGTTTTTTGATTTTGATGTAATTATAAGACCACGGATTGGAGCCTCGACGGGACCTCACTCGACTCTCGAACTCATCACTCCATTATTTTTTTTGAACTACACGCGACCTGATTCCCTTATAACTCGTGATATGTAGGCTGTCCAAAACCAAGACTCGGTTGCACCCTTTTCTCTTTTCTCTTATCTTTATTTCTTCTTTTTTGAATAAAGATATGTTCAAAAATTAGTCACATGGCTCACCTTATCTTTGCTTGAAAACTCTTCATGTTTCCAAGCAAAGAGGGCAGCTGTGAACACCTAATTTTTGAAAATATTTAATTTTTTTGTCACTTTTTCTATGTAAATATTTTAGGGGTTTTAACCTATAATTTTTAGCTTTGTTACACTTTTTATTATAGGTTAAAAATACAAAATTTTAGAAGGTGAATTATTACAATTAATATTATTGTTTTTTATTTTTTAAAAATAATAATTAAAAAAATCCAAAAAATATTAAAAGAAATTTAATTTTCGGGAGAGATTTAAAAAAATAAGAAAAAGGGAAGTATAGAATTAAAAAAAAATAAAAGTAAAAGTAGGTGGAATTCTCTTTTAAAAAGTAAAAGAAAGTGGAAAATTAAAAAAATAAAAGTAAAGTTTTGTAGAAATTTTAAAAAATAAAAAGTAATAGAAAGTTGGAATTAAAAAATAAATATAAAAGTAGTTGAAAATTTAAAAAATTTAAAGTACAATAAAGTAGAATTTTTAAAAAAGAAAAGCAAAAGAAAGTGGATTGTTTTTTTAATAAAAGTAAAATAAGTGGAATTCTCTTTTAAAAAAGTAAAAAAAATGGGATTTTAAATAATATAAAAGTAATTAAAGTTGAAATTTAAAAAATAAAAGTAAATAAAGGTGGAAATTCTTTTTATAAAAAAAAAAAAAGAAAAGCAAAATGTAAGTGGTATTTGTTTTTTAAAAAAATAAAAAAAATAATAAAATAATTAAAAAAAAATCTGAAAATTTTCAAAAATTCTCCTGTAAATAGAAGAGAAATATTTGAAGAAGTGGAAAGAGGAAGAGGGTAGGAAATTGAGAGAAAATAAATTTTCTTCTTCTATGCTAAAAAGAATTTCTACTAGTTTCATTCTTTCTATCTATTTCTTTCAAAAACAAATAAAATATAGCCATTCATTACCTTGTTTAAGACAAAAAAAAAATACCTCAAAAACAGGAGCTAAATCACACCAAAAATCAAATCCAAAAGCTTCAAACTCAATTTAAAAGATAGCCCAAGATACTAGCCCGAAGAGGTCGAAGTCGAGTTCGGTTCGAAAGGTTTTCGCTCGTTGCCTCTGATTGTGGTTCGTTTGCACATTAAATTTGATGGTTTTTTGCTCCATATGTATTGAATAAGCTCTTCATCTATAAAAGGTTCATTCTTTTCTTAACCAATGTTTCCATTATTTTTCTTTCACCGTATTTCCTTTTGATTTGTATATTATATTTTGGTTATCTACCAACTTGAAAGATATGAACAAAAAATGAAGGAAGAGCATAAAAGAAATAGAATTCGTGTGAGACAGAATGAGTTTTTTCAATGAGATTGTAGTTCATAGGGAAAGATAGGAAGATGTATTCAAAATGGAGAGAGAACGATGTAATAGCTTGGATCCAAATTAAAGAATGTTAAGTCAATAGCAAATTTGATACCGACATGGGTGATTAGGTCCATAATAACTCAAATCATATATTTCTTCAATAATAATTTCATATTCATAAATCATGACCTTACAATAATCTCAAAGTAGTTTTAGGAAGAAACATAATCATGAACATTTGTAGTTTGCTTTAAATTGAATACAATCCTTTTAGAATAATCGAGGCGCGCCATGCCAAATAAAATCTCAAAACTCATGGCCCTCATTTAATTAATTTTAATCCTTAGAAATCGAGACGTGCCATTTAATTGAATTTTTCATGGCCCTCGCAAACTTGAAAGTGCGTAGTTGCTTTAGGCGCGCTATTTTTAAAAATTAATTTCCTAAACTCGGGTGTGCATTTCATGTGACCCAAATCCAAATCTCAACAACGTTTGATAAAATGTGTTGTGGACCGCGAGTGCATTTCATGTGACGTGGTTCAAGACGTGTTTTAAATAACGTTGAATTTTCCTAAAATTAATTAAAAACGACTAATAAGTTAAAAAATATACCATAGGTTGAAACATGTTTTAAAAAATCAGATAATATGCCAATTGTAATAGTTTAAGCGACCGTGCTAGAATCACGGAATCCGGTAATGCCTAACACCTTCTCCCATGTTAACAAAATTCCTTACTCAGAATTTTTGGTTCGTAGACTTCAAAAGGAGAGTCGATTTTTCCTCGATTTGGGATTTAAAATAAACTGGTGACTTGGGACACCAATTAAAGTATTCCAAGTGTCGACTCTGAAAAAATTAAATTAAATAATCTCATTTCAAATAATATCACTTTAATTGGAAAACTCTCTTATACCCCTTGGGCGGGTAAAAAAGAGGTGTGACACTACATATATAAAATCTGAAAAGTTACTCAGCTGAATCATAAAGGACACTCTAGATCCGCCCCAGCCCCACTTAACATGTCAAAGTTTGGAAAAACATGTCAAGAAGGGAACGGGGACTGAGCCAGATAAGTGGCGTATACAGTCTACAGAATGTCATCGTTTTCCAGCGTACGTTTTGAGTTCTCAACACAAACTTACACGCTGCTCATTTTTGTTTTGTCAAGTGTCAACCTTGACCTCATAATATCAAGGAAAATCGGAAAATCCCTTCACTTCATAAGATATTTACACACGTATACTCAAAAATACTTTACTAACAAAAACAAAACTTTGACTTTACACAACACAAGAAATCGTGTTTCTGACTTCCAACAACATTAATGAATTATTTAATTCATCTTTTTTTCATTAGAAAGATTCAAACATTGACAAAATACAAAAAGTTTTCGTATGAGTACGTACGACTCCACGGTCTCTTCAATGCATTACTTCATTAAATACATCATCAGCATAAACTCCAACCCCTTTTCCTTTCTTTCTTTCTTCTTCTCTGTATTGCCATGAAAAATGCCGAATATATGGAAAGCATTTTCACTATCATCAAGCTCATCCCACTCTTCTTCTTCTTCTTCTTCAACTAGTACTACTTCTCCTACAGGTTCTCCAAATACACGTAGGTTTTACGGCGGGCGAAGGAGACTGATTAGGCAGCGTAAATTGCGGCACGTTAGTGATGATGAGCTTGGTTTGCGGGGCCTCAATATTCAGTCCTTAATTATTGATGAACGTTCGAAATCCTTACCGGTTTCTCCTGAGTTTTATGTGGATTTCGGGTCGGGTTCTCGGTCGCCCCACCACCTCCGTCACTGTTCCAAGTCCTCCCCTGTGCCACTGCCGTTGCCGCTTCCTGAGCTCAATTCTCTTCCCAAACAGAACTCAGCGGTTGACTCTAATTTGCCGGTTAGAGTTGACAGGGATCCTTTAAGCCCTCCTCTTGCAAGGTTAGTATTGTTCTCAGGAAGGATTCATCTAGCCTATTTCAATTAGTTTGGGACTTTTCAATTAGGGTGTGTTTGGTAGGAGGGAAAATGAGTCCCGGGAAAAGTTTTTCATGAGGAAGTCATTTTCAGCTGAAAATGAGTTCCATCACTAATGGGTGAAAGTCATTTTCCTTACAACTACTTTACCTTTTAGTTTCATTACTTGCTTTTCACCAACAGTTCAACATTATTATTAATCTCTAGTACTCAAAAGTTTCATGAAAATACTCTTCAATTTGTAGATATTATTATTAATTTTTTAAAAATATTTTCCACTTACCAAATATACCCTTAGGGCATCTCAAACAATTACCCCATTTTTCACCCCATAAGAGAATATTCTTTTTTATATTCTTATCTCTCTTTTATATTATATTATTATCTTTCATTAAACAAATTCCATCTTTTATTTTCATTAATTTGTAATTTCCATTAAAATAATTCCATAAAATTTTAAATAATACAATATGTGAGCAATTATTATAGATTAACTAATAATTCAAATAAAAGTGAAATCATTGCGATACAAGATTGATTAAGTACATATTATATAACGATAAAATTCATTCGAAATACTACATCAATATTCAACTTCAACCTCTAGTATTCTCCCATAAATGATCTATTAATGCATTACGAAATACAAAATGAGCATCTTTGTCCATAATTCTTCTATGTCGAGCTAAAAATTCTTGAAATCGTTGATTTTCATCTACTGCCATTTCTATTGTTGGACATGGACCTTCCAAATCATCTTGAACTGGTGCATTAAAATCACGCTTATTCTCAATTATCATGTTGTGCAGTATAAACATGTAGTCATTATATCATGCAGCACTTCTTTTTTCCAAAAAACGTGAGGGTCCTGCAACAATTGCAAAACGTTGTTGCAAAACTCCAAATGCACGTTCAACATCTTTTCAACATGATTCTTGTTTCATCGCAAAATATTTCTTCTTTGCCGAACGTGACTCATGAATAGTTTGCACAAGGGTTGACCAATTTTAATGTATTTTCATTTAATGTATTTCTAATTTTCACTTTTCAATTTTAGCAACATCTAATATTTTATATTCGCACCTTTCAATTTTAGCAACATCTAATATTTTATATTTGCACCATTCATTTTTGAGATGATTTTATTTTTTTGTACAATTATAACTTATAATAAAATTAAGTTATAATTTTACATAAAAATAATAAATGCACGAAAATTAATTTATCATAATTATACGCCAAAGTTAAGATGTAAAACTAATATTATAAAGATATTACATAAACATAATTAAGTATATATAAAGAGATAAATTAAAAGAGTTAAATAGTAAAATAATTAAAATATGCATGAATAGTAATGGGGGAGATGAATACTGTACCCATATTTGAGGGAACGCTATTCATCCCCCATTTTGGGGGTAAAAATGGGGGAGGGTTGGAGCTTCATTACCTTAAAAATTGCCCCCATTATGAGAAAATGAGGTAAGATTGGAGACGGCCTTAGGGTATCTCCAACCTTTACCCCATTTTTGGTCCCCAAAATGGGAATTTCCCCATTTTGGGAACAATTTACTCCAACCATTTCCCCATTTTTTTCCCCAAACTTTTTTATATTCTTCTCTCTCTTCTATATTATATTATTATCTTTCATTTTAATTTTATTTTTTAATTTCCATTAAACAAATTCCATCTTTTATTTTTATTAATTTGTAATTTCCATAATTAAAACAATTCCATAAAATTTTAAATAATATAATTTGTAAACAATTATTATAGATTAACTAATAATTCA